CGATTGCGAGAGACACCGCCCACAGTCCTACGACTTCTAGGATTGCGAGCGGGTCCCCTCGCAATCGGTGCGATCCCAGTTTGGATTGTGAGGAGACCCTCCCGGCGCGCTCACTCACAAGCGCTCGCGGCTGGAGCGATTGGGAGCGCCCTCTGTGCGCGTGCTAGCAATCCTTGGATCTTGGGTACGATTGTGAGCGCCGCCGCTCATAGTCCTACAAGATGTAGGATTGCGAGCGCTACTGCTCGCAATCGGAGGCATGTTGCTCGGATTGCGAGCAGTGCTGCTCTCAATCCTAGACTTTGCTCGGATTGCGAGCGCGCTGGTAGTAGTCGTAGGCGTCACCAGTCACCTTGGGAGCGGAGCTGCTCTTAGTCCTAGAAGATGTAGGATTGTGAGCGTGGGTGCTAGCAATCGTACAGAGATGCTACGATTGCGAGGAGTGCTGCTCACAATCCTTCGACTTCTAGGATTGAGAGCGAGGCTGCTCTCAATCCAAGCCGTCTAGAAAAGAAGGTTCACCCCCACTCCCCTTCATCCCAACCCCACCCACCATTGCGCAGCAGTGGTCCGAGGTCCTCGCTGAGCAGCAGAAGCCGCCCATAACTGTGTGTGTGTGGACCGCGGCGCAGACATCAATCAGACAGTGCTGCGGCGATGCCTCCGGCTGCTGCGGCGAGTGGCTTGCTGCTCGCTGCGATGGCGAAGAACTCGTCTCGTCACACGCCAAGGGCTTATGCTCTGTCGAGACGTGAGGCGTATGCGCCCAGGAGGGGAGGGCGCATGCGTAACGACGCTGCTAGAGATGCCTTTCGGGGCCCAGAGATAAAACTTCTGATGCCATGCGTGACCTAGTAGTGTCCCCAGCTATGGGCGTGTCCACGTTGGAGCCAGGTGTGGTGTGGATTGGGGCAAATGTAGATTTCCTGCCCAGCGTAAGGATATTTCTCTCATTTCTTTCGTCTTTATTTCGTGCCCCACCACGGCAAATTTGCGAGAAATTTCTTCGCCCCGTCACTCCATGCTCAAGTTTCGCCCCTTTCCGTGTAAGGAAACAAGGTGTCCCCCATGTTGGACCAGGCACCGTGCGGGCCTGCCGTGCCTTGCTTGAGCCGGCAGGCCCGCGCGGCAGTGATGGTGCGCCTCCGCGGAGAGGCTGACGCTGGTCATCGGTCAGCGGTCAGCGGTCATCGGTCACCGGTCAAGCGGGTCATCGGGCGTCAGTGTCATTCAGGCGTCAGTGTCATTCGCGTCAACACAGGTATGGTAAATTTCTCCTTCCGAACAAGGCTGTCATATTTCTCAAAATATTTCGGGAAATCTACATTTGCCCCAAGGTGTGGACGCGAGAATAGCTCCGCCGTTCATGGAGGCAACCGATGCGAGTCGACTGTGCACCAGAGTGTGCGCCTCGCAATTCTATACAGAATCGACACTTGGTACGTCCTCTGATCGCTCGTGGAGAGGAGCTACGGCCATTCTCCACTTGTGTTTGACGACGTCAAACACTGTTTGACGACGTCAAACACGATCGAGTAACGCCCAGCTGTTCACAGCAACAGCATGGTCTACCCCCGTCGTCCCACCCCAAGTGCAGCAGCGCAGCCAGGCGGAGCGGACCCACGGCGTGCTCGTGTCGGGCGGCCCCGGCGCCCGCGGCGGAGGCGGCAGCGGCGAGGGGCGCGGCAGCGGGGGGGCGCGCGCGGCGGGCGGCGGGGGCGCGCGCGAGCGAGCGAGCGAGCGGAGCACTTGGAGCATCTGGAGTGCAGTCATTAGCCTCACATCCAGGGCCGGGGAGCTAAGAAGCGCACGCAGCGGGCCGGATGATCGGGATCGGGTTGCGGGCAAGAGAGCCCCGGGGGGTGCGCGTTCGCAGGGAAAGGGCCTTAGCGGATTTGCGTCATTTTTCGTGAGGATTGAATCCCTCGGTGTTTCGAGAGGCGGACACGCTCCTTCCTTCGCACCCGCTCCACACCTCCAGTGGTGAGCAGCGCCGCCCCGCCGCCAGCATGCCAGCCGACCACCGCCCTTGCGCACGCGCCCGCCGCCGTCCGCGCACCGTCGGCCCGTGCAGCCACCCGCCTCTCCCTCCCAGCCGTGTGCCTGCTGCACCGCCGACCCAGCAAGACTGCATCCATCGCCCCACTTCCTTTTCCTTGGCCAGCATGCCGCCGGGCTGGCATGTGGGCGCCTAGTGGACGCACTCCGCTGCGTCGAGCATCGTCCGCTCCCGCCGCCTCCCTGCCTCTGCCTCACACGCCCGCCGCTGGTGGTCCGAGAAACCGCTGCGCCGCGCTGTGGCCCTCTCTCCTCTCCCCTCTCTGCCGCGCCGGAGCGGTGGCGCCTGCCCTGTAGGCTCGCCGGCGCGATGTGTCAAGCGCGGCTGCACCAGCGGCGCGTCCCGCACGAGCAGCTCGAGCAGCTCCGCTCGGCGACAGGCTATCTGCTCAAGTCTGCGGGCGGCGCTGTCAAGCAGGCGGCGTCGCCGCCTCTCTCTTCCCCCTCCCCCGGGCCCGGCCTCAGCCCGCCTCAGCCTGCCTCGGTCTGCCTCGGCCGCCCGCCCCTCCGCCCCACGGGCGCCTCCTCCCGCTGCGGCGCGAGGGATGCGAGGCGAAGGGCGGGAGACAGAGGGGACGGGGGAGGCAGCGCTGGCGGGAGCGGCTCTCCAGCTTCCGACCTCTTCCCCCAAAGCGAATCCCCAGAGAGCACCCCTCCCGCCGCTCCCGAGGGTCTCTCTCTCCCCCCCCTCCCCCCCGGCGCGCCTCAGCCATCCCCAGAGGGCCCGCACGGTCGCTGCAAGAGGCAGACGGGGGAAACACCGAGCCGCTGCACACACGCCTCCCCCTCACCACTTAGA